GCGTACATCATACTGACGGTAAAATAGTCATAAATAATCTCAAAAAGTGCCAATTTGACACACTTTCTTGAAAATTCCATAAACACCAACGGTTATTGAAAAAATGATGTAATACACAATTATCTTTTGATGTTTTTGACAAGAATGACTAATTTTTCAGAATTTATTACAGTTATGTACAATGTTAATGACGTAAACATAATAATTATATTTACTACTTAATAATGTTATACACATGATGATTAAGCAGTGGACATCATGTACGATGTCACCTTCTAATCTACTATAATTCCCATTATACATCGTTATAATGAGAGTTTCGTTGTACATTTATTTTATGCATACACATTAAATTACATAGAAATCAGTTTAATCAAACGTTTTTTCTCGCATGTTCTACTATTTTTCCTTCCCTCTCTTATGTTTTCGTCGAAACTTTTTTCAAAAATAAAAATTTCATTAAAACACTGTTTTACTATTTTGACAAAATATTAAAAGTTAAAATTTTAAAAATGTAATTTGGAAAAATTTTATAAGAAATTACAAAAAATTGCATAACGATTAAGTAGTTTACTTGCAGACAAGGTATATAGAGTACAACTAAATTTATAATTTGTGGGATAAAAGTATGTAGAATACTTTATTCATGAGCATTCCATAAAAAATTACCATTTACATGGAATAAAAAAATAAGTTTTATTCTATTGAATCCCTTGACATATGTGGAATTACGGAGGAATAGTGTTAAAAAATATTCAGAATCAGCATGAATAAATGAAATACAAAATTGACACAAAATGATGAGATACAATTATATAATTAAAAATTATGAAATTTAAAATTCTATTACGATTTTCTACTTAATTCATATATATTTAGTTTGCATTCCATTTTATTCCTTTAAAACACCATCATTCATCTTACATAAATATTTGTCTTTGATTTATTCGATTTATCTTATTCATCTAACTTCCATTATTTCATTCAATTCTACATGTCTGGTCTTTGACAAACATCAAAGATACATAGGTGTTGAGCCTTAAATTTTTACATATCTTTAAATGTCCATCTTTTTTTTTCCATATCATATATGTTTTCATGGTTTTATCGTGAGAGGTGAGATTGACCTAATCACTAAATGATAACTGTACAATTGAAAAAATTTGTAGAATATGCGTTACTAGTGGTAGAATTGAAGAATAAGGAGAAACTGACGAAAAAAAACAAAAGTTAATGAATTATTTCTTTCTCTTTCGACAAGTGGTCTGGTAAAAGTAAAAGAAGTTTCACGTGAATAAAGAAGACAAGTTACATAATTTGAAAGAAAGTCACGGGTGTATAAAAATTTGACTATAAGCTTTCATTCAATGATACAAGCGTATTCATATTTAGGTGAATAAAAAAAAATTGAGAAGCTTTTAGTTATTTGAAAAAAAAAATCAGTTTCTTATAACTTATCAAAGCATAGAAAAGAATCGAGTAAGTTTACATTATTTTTTATAATTCATAATGTTTATATATGTCACCACTTAATATTTATAATTTGTTTTCATATTACACAAATAATATAACTTATTTGAGTTATATATTTTGTTAATTAATTTTTAAAATACATTTATGTTGAAAAGCATGTATATTGTTATAATTATTTATGATTAAACATATTAATTATCAAAATTTTAAAAACATTTGAATTGTATTTATACAAAAGAATTATTATTTTTAAATAAATTTTTTAAAACTATACACAATTGTTTTTGGTTAAGAATTGAACATAAGTATATATATTTGAATGTTGACCCAAAAAAAAAGAAATATTTATATTTGAATTTACACATCACTAAATATGTATGTAGTGTGTTAATATTATTGATTGTTTACAAAAATTACTTCTAACTAATATGTCTTTTAATTTTTATTTCGCAAGTTTACAACTATGAGCGGAGTGGGGGATCTGGATGGTGGAACATTAAACGAAAATAATATGGTTAAATCATGTCAAAATTTAGCTATATGAGGATTATATTATAGAAATATATTATAATTTTTGTGGGTTGTGAAATATAAATTGTAAGAATATTCTAGTTGATCGCTAAGGGTGAATTCTCTATTTATTCAATTATTAGATGAAGAAGTGTAAAAAATAAACTTTTAGCATGACTGTC